TGCCGGAGGCCGCTCTGGGCTCCTCTGGGCACCTCCCCCGGGGCCGGTTTTGTGAGGATGTCTCAAGCGAGGGCGCCGGTTTGGGATTCGTCACCGGATCCAGCGGATCCAGCGGATCGGATCTGTCCGGAAACGGTGCCGGAGGCCGCTCTGGGCTCCTCTGGGCACCTCCCCCGGGGCCGGTTTTGTGAGGATGTCTCAAGCGAGGGCGCCGGTTTGGGATTCGTCACCGGATCCAGCGGATCCACCGGATCTGTCCGGAAACGGTGCCGGAGGCCGCTCTGGGCTCCTCTGGGCACCTCCCCCGGGGCCGGTTTTGTGAGGATGTCTCAAGCGAGGGCGCCGGTTTGGGATTCGTCACCGGATCCAGCGGATCCAGCGGATCCACCGGATCTGTCCGGAAACGGTGCCGGAGGCCGCTCTGGGCTCCTCTGGGCACCTCCCCCGGGGCCGGTTTTGTGAGGATGTCTCAAGCGAGGGCGCCGGTTTGGGATTCGTCACCGGATCCAGCGGATCCAGCGGATCTGTCCGGAAACGGTGCCGGAGGCCGCTCTGGGCTCCTCTGGGCACCTCCCCCGGGGCCGGTTTTGTGAGGATGTCTCAAGCGAGGGCGCCGGTTTGGGATTCGTCACCGGATCCAGCGGATCCAGCGGATCCACCGGATCTGTCCGGAAACGGTGCCGGAGGCCGCTCTGGGCTCCTCTGGGCACCTCCCCCGGGGCCGGTTTTGTGAGGATGTCTCAAGCGAGGGCGCCGGTTTGGGATTCGTCACCGGATCCAGCGGATCCAGCGGATCCACCGGATCTGTCCGGAAACGGTGCCGGAGGCCGCTCTGGGCTCCTCTGGGCACCTCCCCCGGGGCCGGTTTTGTGAGGATGTCTCAAGCGAGGGCGCCGGTTTGGGATTCGTCGGCGGATCCACCGGATCTGTCGGGATCTGTCCGGAAACGGTGCCGGAGGCCGCTCTGGGCTCCTCTGGGCACCTCCCCCGGGGCCGGTTTTGTGAGGATGTCTCAAGCGAGGGCGCCGGTTTGGGATTCGTCACCGGATCCACCGGATCTGTCCGGAAACGGTGCCGGAGGCCGCTCTGGGCTCCTCTGGGCACCTCCCCCGGGGCCGGTTTTGTGAGGATGTCTCAAGCGAGGGCGCCGGTTTGGGATTCGTCACCGGATCCAGCGGATCCAGCGGATCGGATCTGTCCGGAAACGGTGCCGGAGGCCGCTCTGGGCTCCTCTGGGCACCTCCCCCGGGGCCGGGTTTTGTGAGGATGTCTCAAGCGAGGGCGCCGGTTTGGGATTCGTCACCGGATCCAGCGGATCCAGCGGATCCAGCGGATCTGTCCGGAAACGGTGCCGGAGGCCGCTCTGGGCTCCTCTGGGCACCTCCCCCGGGGCCGGTTTTGTGAGGATGTCTCAAGCGAGGGCGCCGGTTTGGGATTCGTCACCGGATCCACCGGATCTGTCCGGAAACGGTGCCGGAGGCCGCTCTGGGCTCCTCTGGGCACCTCCCCCGGGGCCGGTTTTGTGAGGATGTCTCAAGCGAGGGCGCCGGTTTGGGATTCGTCACCGGATCCACCGGATCTGTCCGGAAACGGTGCCGGAGGCCGCTCTGGGCTCCTCTGGGCACCTCCCCCGGGGCCGGTTTTGTGAGGATGTCTCAAGCGAGGGCGCCGGTTTGGGATTCGTCACCGGATCCACCGGATCTGTCCGGAAACGGTGCCGGAGGCCGCTCTGGGCTCCTCTGGGCACCTCCCCCGGGGCCGGTTTTGTGAGGATGTCTCAAGCGAGGGCGCCGGTTTGGGATTCGTCACCGGATCCACCGGATCTCTGTCCGGAAACGGTGCCGGAGGCCGCTCTGGGCTCCTCTGGGCACCTCCCCCGGGGCCGGTTTTGTGAGGATGTCTCAAGCGAGGGCGCCGGTTTGGGATTCGTCACCGGATCCACCGGATCTGTCCGGAAACGGTGCCGGAGGCCGCTCTGGGCTCCTCTGGGCACCTCCCCCGGGGCCGGTTTTGTGAGGATGTCTCAAGCGAGGGCGCCGGTTTGGGATTCGTCACCGGATCCAGCGGATCCACCGGATCTGTCCGGAAACGGTGCCGGAGGCCGCTCTGGGCTCCTCTGGGCACCTCCCCCGGGGCCGGTTTTGTGAGGATGTCTCAAGCGAGGGCGCCGGTTTGGGATTCGTCACCGGATCCAGCGGATCTGTCCGGAAACGGTGCCGGAGGCCGCTCTGGGCTCCTCTGGGCACCTCCCCCGGGGCCGGTTTTGTGAGGATGTCTCAAGCGAGGGCGCCGGTTTGGGATTCGTCACCGGATCCACGGATCCAAACGGTGCCGGAGGCCGCTCTGGGCTCCTCTGGGCACCTCCCCCGGGGCCGTTTTGTGAGGATGTCTCAAGCGAGGGCGCCGGTTTGGGATTCGGGATCCACGGATCTGTCCGGAAACGGTGCCGGAGGCCGCTCTGGGCTCCTCTGGGCACCTCCCCCGGGGCCGGTTTTGTGAGGATGTCTCAAGCGAGGGCGCCGGTTTGGGATTCGTCACCGGATCCACCGGATCTGTCCGGAAACGGTGCCGGAGGCCGCTCTGGGCTCCTCTGGGCACCTCCCCGGGGCCGGTTTTGTGAGGATGTCTCAAGCGAGGGCGCCGGTTTGGGATTCGTCACCGGATCCACCGGATCTGTCCGGAAACGGTGCCGGAGGCCGCTCTGGGCTCGTGCTCTTCGCGCCGGGGGTGAGGATGACGTGAGTTCCACAGAAACTCCCTCAAATTACACTGTCGCTTTAAGTCATATGCAGGAGAGCCCATAATCGCATTGATAACTCGGATCGGAATCGAAATGAATCGGATCGGCAGCCACATCGGCAGCCACGTCGGGAGAAGTCGAATCGGCAAAAATCGGCAGGCTAGCAAGCCTCCATGGAAGAACCGGAGCCTCAATCGGAATCTGACGTCGCACCGGATCGGAATCGGAGACCAAATCAAATCGGACCGAATCGAGTCGGAGGAATCGAAATGAGCCCTGCACGTGATAGCCTCTATGAAGCCTCTGCTGCCTGCCCGCTCGGCCCCCGGGGACCTTGCGTGGCACGCGCACTGCGCCAGGTGTGATGGGCCAGTTTTCCACCACCACCACCATAAGTTGGAGGGGGAGGGTGTCCTCCTCCTCCTCCTCCTCCTCCTCCTCCTCCTCCTCCTCCTCCTTGTCCTCCTCCTCTACCTCCTTCTCTTCGTCCTCCTCCTCCTCCTCCTCCTCCTCCTCCTCCTCCTCTTCCTCTGCCTCCTCCTCCTCCTCTTCCTCCACCTCCTTCCCCCTCCAACTTATGGTGGTGGTGGTGGAAAACAGGCCCATCAAGATGCGCCTGGCGGACCTCTTCAGTCAAGACGCGTCCCTTCGCAGACCTGGCTGGATCCAGCAGGCAGCCCTCCCCCTCCTCCCTCCCTCCTCCTCCTCCTCCTCTCCTCCTCTCTCCTCCTCTCTCTCTCCTCCTCCCTCCTCCTCCTCCTCCTCCTCCTCTCCTCCTCCTCCTCCTCCTCCTCCTCCTCCTCCTCCTCCTCCTCCTCCTCCTCCTCCTCCTCCTCCTCCTCCTATCCTCCTCTACCTCCTCTCCTCCTCCCCTCCTCCTGCTCCCCCTCCTGCTTCTTTTGCTTCTCCTGCTCTCCTGCTCCTCCTCCTCTCCTCTTCCTCCTCCTCCTCCTGCTCCTCCTGCTCCTCCTGCTCCTCCTGCTCCTCCTGCTCCTCCCGCCTCCTGGTCCTCTTGGTTCTCCTGCTCCTCCTGCTCCTCCTGCTCCTCCTGCTCCTCCTGCTCCTCCTCCTCCTGCTCCTCCTTCTTTTCCTCCTCCTCCTCCTCCTCCTCCTCCTCCTCCTCGTCAACCTCAGGCCAGCTTGGTCCAGCTCCGTCCAGCCTGGCGCAGACCAGCGACATCGACGCCAGCATTTTCCCGTCCAAACTGTGCCTTGCCCCTGGCCACGTCCGCCACGATACGGCCATCATAATCCCTCCACCGTCGGTCGAGGACATGCGCGAGCCATTAATCAGACAGCGGTGTTCTGTCTTCCAGTGATCAAGCGCACGACAGCCATCGACATCGATCTTCAGTCAGCACCATCACTATCATCATCATCGGCATCATCACCATCATCATCATCATCATCATCATCATCATCATCATCATCATCAGCATCATCATCTCATCTCATCATCATCATCAGCATCATCATCATCATCATAATCGGCATCAGTATCATCATCGACATCATCATCATCATCATCACCATCATCATCATCATCATCATCATCATCATCATCTCATCATCATCACCATCATCATCATCACCATCACCATAACCAATATACTCGCCATCATCATCGTCCTCGGCAACATCACCATCACGATCAGCACCACCATCACTATCACCACCATCCTCACCATCATCATCACCATCGTCACCAGCATCAGCATCACCAGCAGCATCATAATCATCATCATCATTGTCACCATCATCATCATCCTCAGCATCATCATCATCCTCAGCAGCATCACCATCATCATCACAATCACCATGACCAGCATCATCAGCATCAGCATCAGCATCACCATGACCAGCATCATCATCAACACCATCATCAGCAGTATCACCAGCATCATCAGCATCAGCATCAGCATCAGCATCAGCATCAGCATCATCATCATCATCATCATCATCATCATCATCATCATCATCATCATCATCATCATCATCGTTAGCCCTATCGGTAGCATCAGAATTGTCGTCGTCGTCGAAACCTTTACGTTTCCCTCAACGAGGCCACACAAGTGCCACCCCCGCTGGAAAACGAATGCAATTATCCTGCGTGGTGTGAGGCAAGTGTTCTATGAGCCTGGGCACTCACGCACCACTAGAGTACATCAAATCTGACAGGCTGATGCAGATACTGGTGCGGCCCAGGTGGAGACGCGCGTCGCCAGATAACGAATATAAGCATTTTTTTCACTCCACAGGCGCTGCGCACGTAACAGCTGGTTTGCAGGAGTGCGCACCTACCGCATCGGCTGCGACCACCAGGACGCACAGAGAATCAGCCACGCTCGCGGCGAAAAATACTACATCGCCAACCCAACTCGCGCATGATGCGCGATATCTTCCCGTTGGTGTGATGTCGGGCATGTCTCTCACAGGCGTGTATTGAACGAACAATCAAAAATAGTTAAAATGAAATATCCAAACATAGCTAATCATACTAAAAACATCGTCCCCACACCATGTTTTGACAATTCTTGAATATCCTTCCTGTAGAGGGACACGCCCGACTGAACGTTCGTGTCACGTACGCTCACACTCGGACACACCAAGCTTCACGCGTCCAGACTGCGCTTGCCCTTTCCAGACACAGCTGCAGCTGCACTTGAGGATCTCAACTACGCCATGCGCAACTCCAGAGCCTACGAAACACTCCTCCTCCTCCTCCTCCTCCTCCTCCTCCTTAGCACTCCCTCCCTCACCCATTCCTCCCAGCCCCCTCCGAAATAAACCTACAATCTTGGCTGTACCAGCCTCTCCGCGCAAACGCTCTTCCTGACCGTGCCAACCTTTCCGGGCAAATACTGGTTTTGGTACGAGCCGCCCAAACTCGCTAACGTTGGTTCTGCCTGCGGTGGCCTATCCTACTGGGGGTTGTGATTCCGATTGTTAGGTCGGGCGTGTCCCCCTACGGCGTATACGGGCGGATTTTGTATGAAAAACGAATTATAATCAACAACAGTCCAGCATGATCAAAAATAGTAGAAGATCGTCCTCAGTATGTTTTGACTATTTTTGAATCTGCCTCCTGTAGATGGACACGCCCGACGTCATCCGATTGCCGACTGCCTGTGGTTCTTGGGGCCGAGCGCTGCAGGTTGGACGTCTGGAGTCCAGAAGTCTGCAGAAGCGCGCGATCGTGACCGAGTGAGGACCTCCTCCTCCTCCTCCTCCTCCCTCCTTCCTCCTCCTCCTCCCTCCTCCTCCTCCTCCTCCTGCTCCTGCTCCTCCTCCTCCCTTGTGAGGCCGACGCACGCATAGTACGTAGAAGCGCGTCGCCCCCATGAGGCCGGCCACAACCGACATCGACTCGGATCGATCGGAATTTCCACAAGAAACCCAACCCTGAAACCCCAAGACGTCCATGGATTTGTGGCGTGGGAACGTGGCGCTCCCCATGACAGAAGCATCGAAGACCAAGAAACCCAGGGCACCCTGGAGGCAAGCTGGGTGTTTCTTGGAAGGGGTCGCGATTGTAAGCCTTTGTATGTCACATCTCACTTGCGCCCGCGACATTTACCCTTGGCGTCTGCCTTTGGCGATATCGACCTTGCGCAGATTGCGATCATGGCCGCGACGCGCGAGAACGGGCAACCGCAAAACTTGCGTTCTCAACCTACAAATATGAAAATTCTGGAGATGCTTCCTAAGATTGCGGAGATTAGGGAATTCCGTCACGTCCCTGAGCGTTTGTCTCTGGGGAGGAAGATAAAGGCTGCTCCGCCCCTCATTCGTGGATTCGCGGACCCGGTGATTCCTGCAAGCCTTTCTGTTGTTCCGCTCCCCGCGAGTGTCGGTTCTTGCTCTTGGGGGAGCTGCGGCCGCCTTTCGTCTTCTTCGTCCCCCTTTGCCGCCCGTGCCTGCGGCGGGGTAGCAAACATCGGCACTTGCTCCCCGGCGCCGCGCGCCCTACTCCGTCGGCCAGGGGCCGGGGCCGTTCGTGGGAGGGCGAGTCGCGGGGGCTGGCCTGGCAGGCCACCGCGCCGGCGACCGCAGGCGCGTCCTGCCGCGGACTGCTCTCTGGCCTGGCCGCGCCGCGCGTGTTGCCCACAGGCCAGCGCAGGCGCACTGGGCCATCCCAGCGGGAAAGGAATCCACAGGTCGGTGCGGCGAAAACACTGTTTGAAAATACTCGCGGGCGCAAGCGCCCTCGTTTGTATTCATCATGCACCGCGCGGGCGGGGCCCCCAGGAGCGAGCACCTGAAAACAGGCCGTGCTCGTCCTCCTGGGGTCCACGGACCCCGCGCGCAGCCGCGGCGCGCTCGGCGCGGGCCTCGCGGCCGCGGTCCCTCGCCGCCGCCAGGGGCGCGAAGCCGTGCGCCCTCGCCACGCTCTCCAGCGGCGGCAGGATCCGCTGGCTTGCCGCTGCAGCGCCCGCGCCTGGGCCAGGCACACCTCCTGCGGCCTCTCTCATCGAGGGCTCGCTAGCGCCGCCTCGGTCCTACACCTCCAGCTCCGCGTCGTCGGCGACCCTGAGGTTGACCGCCCAGCGCGCCCTCGTGGCCACCGTCGGCGGCTGGAGGTCGCCGAACGCCTCCTTCGTGCCTGGGAGGATCCTCCTGTCAAGGTCGTTCGTCGCCTGGGCGCGCGAGCCGCTGTTTGCCCGATGCCCCGCGCCGAAGCACTGGTCGCGCAGTCCTTTTACGAGCCATCCTCGGCGCCCTGGTGCGCTTGAAGGGCCCCGCAGACTTGCTGAGCACCTGGCCCTCCATGAGCTGGTGCCCGTGGACCACCCACGGCCGCGGCCGCGCCGCGCCAGCCGCAAGCTGCGGCTCCCGGGCCGCGGCCTGCGGCCCAGCCTCGCCTGACCGTGCGCGCTCCAGCTGCAGCCTGCGGGGCGCCCGCCGCAAGGCCTCTGCCGCCGTCTCGCCATCTGGCACCTGCGGGGCCGCGGGCGGAGTGGAGGGCGGGGCCGCCGCGGGGCGATTGCGAGCGGCCGTCGGCCTGCCTCTGCACGGGGCAGCAAGGGCGCTGGCCGAGCTGGGGGCCGCGCGGGAGGCAGCCGCCGCCGCAGGCGCCACCGCCGCGCCCGCCCGCCGCAACTGCACGCCCAGAGCCGCTGTGCGCCGTGCTGGCTTCCGCCGCGCCCGCCCCTTCGTCGTCGAAGTAGCCCAGGTCGATGTCCTCCAGGGCCTCTGCGGGCCAGCAGTCGCGGCGCCTTGGTCCGAGATGCAGGCCTCAATCTCGGCGGCGAAGCGGCAAGCCTCACGACCGCGCGCGCGCCGGGAGGTGCTCGCCCGCTGGGGCCTGCAGCGCCGCGCCCTCCTTGGCACGCTTGTCCGCGATCATGTTGCCCTCGCGCTCCAAGGCCGTGATCTCGCCTCTGACGACCGCCGCCTCCGAGGTGTGGGCAGGGATGTACTTCGCATCGATCCCTTCCGCTGCGCCCCCCGCCCTGGCCCAGAGGTGGGCGCGAGGCGACGAAGGTCCTCGGGCCCTGGGAAGGTCCCTGATGCAGTCCGCCGTGCCCTTGCAGTCGCAGAGCAAGGTGAACCGCCCGACGATCTGCGCGAGCGCTAGCGCAGCCGCGCAGTCCTCGCCCGCGCGCGCCGACTGGCTGGGCAGCAGCTCGGGCGGGACTGCCCCCTACGCTCGCGACCCGGCCTGGCCGCTGGCCGAGATCACGATGACCGCCCAGCCAGCGCAGCGCAGAAAGGGGGAGCTCCCATGCACGCAAGAGCCGTCGGTGAACACCAGCGCCCCGCCCGCCACCGCCACGGGGTTCTCCCAACCAGCTTGGCGCCACGCCCAGTGCGCCGCGCCCAGTGCGCCTGCCAGCGGGGCCGCCGGAGAAGCGGCGAGGCGTCCAAGAAGAGGCCCTGGGCGAAGAGCTCGCCGAAGGGCGGACCCATGCTGTTGGCCTCCTCCGCCGCTGCCTGCAGCCCAGGCGGCGTCCGATCTCTCCTCCAAGCCTGCCAGGCGGGGCACTCGAAGTGGCGGTGGTAGACCGAGCCCTCGGACTCCTGGCGCAGCAGGCACATCGGGCTCATGTCCACGTTGTGACGAGCGAGCTGCGCCTGCGGCTAGTGCGCCAGCGAAGCCAGCCAGCGCAGGCAGCCCTTGTGATGACTAGTCCAACTCTCGGAGACTGCTCGGCCCAGAAGCTCGTTGACGGGCTTCCAGGCAGGCGGCGGCCTCCAAGGCCGGAGGGGCCCAGGGCGGGCTCTAGACTCCTCAAGGGCCGCCGCCTGCCGCGTCGCCCCCCTGGCCCTCTCCGCCAGAAACGAGGGCGAGAAGGTGATGGCGTCAAACTCGCAGCCCTGCTCATCTCGGAGGCGCGTGCCGCCGGCGGTGAGCCGCCATCCTATGCGCTGCAGGGTGAGCACCGGCGCCGCGATAGGGTCACGGACCGCATCCCAGGGCCGCTGGCTGTGCTGCAGCTTCTCCGCTTCATCAAGGCAAGCTTGCACCGCCGCAAGCCAGGCCAGGCCTGCCCAGCCCATGTCGCGCTGCAGAAAGCCTGGGCCGCCATGCCCGCCACGATGACCAGCGGGCCCTGCCTCCAGCCACGCGGGCCGCGCTGCAGTGCGAAGCTGAGCGCAGCTCCAGGGGGCAAGCGACCAGCGCTCTCAACTGCAGCCGCCCTGCATGAGAGCTCGCATCCTGCCAGGGGGCACTCCTGACGTCGCCGAGCCCCAGAACGCCCTGGCCGTCGGCCCCGCACGCATCGCCCTGGCTTGCCGCAGCCCTGGCCCGAAGATGCGTGCAAGGCGGGCTGCTTGGCGAAGGGGCGCCAGCTCGCGGGCCACGTGCGCGGCGACTCGGCGATGGCCGCCTGCAGCGGCGTCGCCCCGCAGGCAGCGGTGGCCAGTTGCGGAGGCCACTTTTCCTGGGCCATCGGATCCCTCTGCAGAGAGACCGACGAGGCCAGGACCTTGGTCTTGCCCCAGTTGATGGGCAGGCTCTTGTCTTCCAGCATCTGGACTACCCCATTCACGAACTGGGGGAACTGCCGCTCTAGACTTCTCCTCGAGCCAAAGGCGTGGCCCGCCACATCGTCGATCATGTTCGCCACCCTGCCGACCTGCAGGAGCGCTCGCCCACGAAGCAGCGGGTCGCACAGCAGGGGCTTCGCGAGGGTCCCAGCGCACGAGCAGCCAGCGATCACCGAGCCGACCGCGCGGATCTCCTCGCTCACTGCGCCGTCGACGGTGGCTCGCCGCGGCCCGGCGTGGGCGACGCGCAGGGCCCGCGCGAGGCCGACGCTGAGGTCGTTCGCCTCGGCCGCCGCTTCAGCAGGTCGTGGTCGATCCACTCGTAGAACTTACTGATGTCGAGATAGAGTGAGGCACCATCGAAGCCCTTCGCGCGGGCCAGCCCCAGGTAGAGGTTGTGAAGGGAGGCAGCCCTGTTGCAGGAGGTGTCCGCGCTGTCTCCCCAGATCTCAGGAATATGGCGCTTCTTCTCCCAGGCCTCCCCGCAGAAGCGCAACCAGAAAGCCATCGGCCCCATCGGCCCCCTGCCGCCATCTGGCTTGCCGAGGGAGACGATGGGGGCGGTGAAAAGCCCTGTCGGCTTGGGGTCACGCACCCATGCCGCGATCACCTCGGCCACCCGCTGGGCAAAGGGCCGCCCGAGCAGCAGCGGCAGTCGGGGATGGCAGGCGCCCCAGCCGAGCGCGGTCCGCTTGGGGAAGGTCATGGCCGCGCCCAGCACCTCATCGGCCGTGGCCCCAGGCAGGCCCATGACAGCCTCCCACCTCAGCGGGCGGGATGGGCGACCCGGCGCCGCCGCCGCCCGCTGGCTCGCTAGCTCCTCGCCTTCCCTCCCAGAGCCGCCGCCGCTCAAGCAGGATCTGCTCCGTAGCTGGGTGGCCGACGAGCGGCGCGACAGGGGGCTCGGGGCCGCTGTCCGCCATCGCCGCGCTCGCCTCAGCTGCGGGCGGCTTGCTGACAGCATGCGCGCCACGCCTTCCAGCATCCAGCGCGTCATCCACGAAGGCGCACCAGCGCGCGCGGGTGGCCCGGGCGTCGGCGCGGACGCGGTCGGCCGCGGCCGCCTCGATGGCCTCGAGGAAGAACCTGCTGAGCTCGAGGGCGCGCGCACTTCCTCGAGCAGCAGCCGCATGTTCGACACGGTGAACATCTGGCAGCCATGCTGGACGAAGTTCGGCACCGGCGAGACGGTAGCTGCTTCCAGGTGGCGCATGTAGGCCTGGCGCGCATGCCCTGGCGCCTCCAGGAGCGCCGCTGCCGCTGGCTGCCGCGCCAGGCGCCCCAAGGAGATCCAGTGCCGCGTCAGCGGGCTCACCTTCCGAGTCGACTCCGTGCGCTGCAGGTCCTTCAACGCATTCTTGACTCGGCGAACTCCCCGAGCGCGCCCGCGATGCTGGCGGCTGGCCGCTCCCGAGCCCAGCAGGTCGACGCGGTGCTGGTCCGCCGTGTCGTAGAACTCCTTGACCGCAGCATCGGGCGAACCTCGCTCGTCCAGCAGTGGCGCCTCCCGGCGCATGGAGTCTGCAGCTCGTAGCGCCTCCTCACGCGCCTCGGCCTTGACCGCCGAGCTGAGGTCGAAGGCCCGCGGCGGCTGCAGCACCCAGACCTCCGCCAATGCCCCCAAGCGCCCCAAGGACATGCGGACGGGCGCATGGGGTGCAGCGTGATGGGACGAATCACCTTGACCTTCGGGCACAGAGCCGCTGACGCCGCCGACACCACGAAGAAATCGTGCTTCTTGGTCAGGCAAATGGGCCGCGCGGGCTCAAGAATCGCGCCAACAATGGCCCTCGGCCACCGCGATCCCGCGAGCTCCTGCGGCTCCGTGTTCCAGTTGCCCCCGACGATGTAGGGCCCCTGCTGGCGGTTGAAGAACTCTTGAAATCGCCCCGGCAGGTCCAGGTTCAGCCCTGCCAACCGAGTCGAGTGCTCAAGGTAGACGCTGACCACGATAACCACCAGGTCACCGAAGGCCACTCTGCGGGCTGCGATCCTGGTGGCGAGCTCCTCCCAGCCATTCTCAATCATCGCCACCCCGCGGAAGCTGGCCGTCACGATGGCCACTCCCGACGACACCTCCTGCGCCTTCGCCCCAGTGCGCGCGAACGGGCCGAAGGCAGCCCGGAGGCCGTTGCGACGGCACCAGCCGCGAGCAGACTCTGAGGCGCGCTCCGAGACGAACCTGGTCTCCTGCACCAGGATCACGTCGTCCGAGCATCCAGTCTCTCGCAGTGGCTCCAGCGCTGTCTGCGTCTGAGCCCAGGACGAGCCATTCAGCGCCACGATGCTGGCGGCGGCGCCCCGCTCGGGCGGCAGCAAGTCCGCCAGGGAGCGCAGCCTGGCCTTCATGCTAAAGGATCCTCCTGCCCTGCGCCTCGGCCGCAACAAGGGTGACCGTTGCCAGTGGGCCCAGGTCGGCCGCCTCCGTCGCCGGCGAGCTGATCAGGCCAGGCGCAACCTTGGTCCAGCCTCCAGCAGCAGGGCCGCGCCGAGCCGCCTGGCCTCGCTCCTCAGCTGGCTGCGGCTCCAGCAGGTCGGCGTCCGAGTCGGAGTCGACCGCGCCGCCATCCAGGGGGCAGCTGTCGCCCCGGCGCTCGCGCTGCTGCAGCTGCGCCTTGGACTCTGGGGCGAAGAACAAGGCCTCGACCGCTGCCAGCTGCTCCATCGTGCCCTCCCACGCGCGAGCGAAGCTGCCACCCGTGTGAGCCGTCGGCAGCGTGCGGAGCTGCACGAACAGACCCCGCATGGCCTCCAGGTCTCGCTCTGACACCGCGCGCTGCGCGCCTGCGCCGCCGCTGCCTCCAGGGAGTTGACTCGCTCCTGCGCCGCCGACTGCTGCTCCTCAGCTCGCACCAACTTCTCCTGTGCCTCTTGCAACTCGGCCTCGGCGTCGGCGACCGCCTTGGCAGCGTCGGCGAGGGCGCGGCGCGCTCCCGCAGCCTTCTTCTCCGCGCGGCTGGCTGAGTAGGCCTTTCTGCGGAGCTTGGCCGCTCGCGAGAGACCTGCCTCGGTATCAGCTGCCAGCGCCGCGGCCGCCGCATCACGCTGAACTCGAAGGGCCACCAGCTGCTCGTCCACGTGCGCCACGCCGAGGCCCGCGGGAACGGGGAAGGCTTCGAGGTACCCGATGTCCTTCTGCAGCTCGCCGAGTCGGCCGCTGGCCTCCGAGCCACTGGCCGTGCTGTCAAGCGTGCCCCCCTCCGAGCTGTCCGTTGGGGCGGGCGCGCAGCTGCCACGGCTCGAGTTTTGCCGCGCCCGCGCTTGCCCTTGCCTGGCCGCACCCAGCCGTCGGTGTCGACCTCGGGCTGGCAGGACGCGCGACGCGTAGCCCAGGGTGGCGCCGTGGCCTTGCAGCCAATGCGCGAGCTGCGGGTGCAGTACTTCCACTGCATGCAGGCGCGGCAAGCAAAAAAACAGTAAGAGCCGTCGCCGCGGCCGCGAGCAGCAGCAGCAACGCCAGCAGCCGCAGGAGGCGCCATCCCGCGGGCCCGCCGCCGCTGCGCACACGAGCCCCAGAGGAACTCACAGCTCTTAGTGCCTGGCACAAAGCGCGGAGCCCCTCGCGCTCTGAACGCCGCGGACGACTCGCGGTCGTCGGGAGCTCCATGACCTTGAGCCAAAACGGCTTGAGCAAAAATGGCTTGAGCCAAAATGGCTACGGACGGCGAAGGCATTGGATAAAGAACTATTGGATAAGGAATCCAGGGTCTGGAAACCCGTGGAGCACAAGTTGAGGCCTGACCATGGAACTCACCGCGGCCCTCAAGAGATAAAGAATCCTCCAGGGCCTGCAGCCTCCAGGGCATATTCCTTAATTAACGCCCCCACCGTATTGGCGCACGGCCGTGACCGAGCGAAATCATCCCTTCTTTGCCACCTGCTTGTGCTCTTATCCCTCGGCTACTGGCCGGCGCCATCCCGCACAACCCGCCGCTTGCCGGCATTGGGCCGCTTGCCTGGTGGGGCGCCCCCCGTTGCGTTTGGGGGGCGGGCGGGCGGAAGAGCCGCACACCCTATCCGTTAACTTGGCCCTGGGGACATAAGAATTGAACGTTGATCGGCGTGCAGACTGTTGTAATGCCACGCCCGCTCGTGCCTCCTTCCTCTACGGGAAGGCACCTGCCTGCCCGCCTTCCTCCATTTCCACCCCCTCTTCCATCTCAAAATGCTCTTCCTGTTCTCGTCCCATCTCCAATCCTCGCTCCCTTCCGCGCTCCTCTACCCGCTCCCGTCCCGACTCCACTCACCACTCAGTTTGGTCCACCTCCGTCGGGTTCCAGCTCCGTCTCTACAATTGGGGCTGATTGCAGAGGACACGCGAAAGGACACAAGACCCTTCCCAGGGCCACATTGCCACAGGAATGCAGAAGGCATGGGTCGCGAGATACAGGGCACAAGGGTACCCTTAATTTGCCAGGGTCGATCTACTAATCAGCCTGAACTGCTTCCCTTCCCTGGGGAGAGGGACGAAAACGCACAAGCACCACCACCACCACCACCACCTGGAGGATTGAGGCAGAGGGTGGTCAGGGGTGGTGGTGGTGGTGGTGGTGGTGGTGGTGGTGGTGGTGGTGGTGGAGGTGGTGGTGGTGGTGGTGGTGGTGGTGGTGGTGGTGGTGGTGGTGGTGGTGGTGGTGGTGGTGGTGGCGGCGGTGGTGGTGGTGGTGGTAGTGCGTATCGTTTTTGGCGCTCTCGCGCAACATCGTGCGCACCCGCTCACCGCACACCGGCCCATCCGGCATCCCACCAAAGCGGTGGTGGTGGTGGTGCTGCGCTTCCTGCTCCCGACTGCCGCTCCCGCCCCCGCCTCGCTCCAGATCCCGCCACGTCTCCGCTCCCGTCCCCTGCCCCGCCTCCCCGCTCCAGGCCCCAGCCGCCTGCTCTTGCTGCACAGCCCTCGCGCAACTGCAGGCGACACCGACGCCCTGGGGCGGCGCACGCGAGGCCCCGACTCGTCCGAAGCTGCTTCGGGAGAGCGGAGTATCCTGAAATCCGCTGGCTCTCTTTTTTGGGGGTGCAAGGCTGTCCAGCGTGCTGGTGGACTGCGATCCTGCTTCTCTGTTGCGTCTTCTGCGTTTGCCTCGTATCTCTCCCGTGCTGTCTCCTTTCTGCTCACTACCAGGGGGGCGTACCAGCAAAAGAAACGCCTGGGGTTTCCTTTCGCCTCCTGACCGCCCTCGGATACCACCAGACGGCCAGCGGCCAGGACGGCCCCGAGCGACCCGACGAGAGTGAGGGCCCCAAGATGCCCCAGGGAGGACATCATATACATTGAACAGCCCTACGTCGTGTCTCGATCTCCCACGATGTCCCAAGACCACCTCAAGACAAGACGGCCCCCAGAGCCGCCGAGATCGCCCAAAATTGCCTAAGTATGACCCCAGAAGGCCCCAAGATGCCGCCCAGATCGCCCATGACCCCTGAGATGCCATCGAGGTTGGCCCCAGAGGCCCCTGAGAGAGCTCCATCAAACGCCCACCCGATGTCATTACGCTAGACGGCCCGTTCCGTCCCTCCGCGCGCGCCGAACCCAACCCCGAGTACGATGTATCCCGCCCGCGTCCAGCGCCAGGCAGGAGCATTCTACCCTCCCCGGCAATCCACCCCCCCACGCTTACTGAGCAAGTCGGCAAGCCCTCAGACTGCGCAGAGTGTCCCGGAGGTGGCCCGAGAGGCCTTCGTATGCCGAGGAGAGGCCCCAATATGATTTTAAAGCTTACGCAATTTGGACACCAGGTGGCTCGGCCTGGGGGGGACCGCGGCAGAGGGCAGAACCCTTGAGACAAAATGAATTAGGAGATCCGTTCCTGTGATCTGGCGATTTAAAAAATAGGAGTATAAGCGCGACTATAAATACGAGCTGCACAATTCTCCAATACCCTTACTGCGTCTTCCTCGTGGAGGAGTCAGGCTGTTCTCTGGAATTGATGCCTTCGCTCGTGGGGGGGTCTGGCTCCCGCAATTTGCGAGCCAATTGGCGCAGATACCACACGTCGTTCTGCAAGCAATCCGAGATCCGGGTCATCTCCCACTTGCGGAAGCGCGGCAGGTAGGAGAGGGACTGCACCGACTCGAGGATGTTCTGGACCTTCGGGGAGACGACCTGCCACCTGTACTGGAAATCCTCCCCGTCGTCGTGGATGAAGAACTGTGAGTAACGCTCCCTGAACACGGCATCCACGCTGGTCGTCAGTAGCATATGGTATTGTCCGTAGAACTCCCGCAAGCAAGCTGCACACCCAAAACAGAGCATTATGTAGATGAAGGTGACACCAAAGCAGGCCCAAGCGTCTGGGCATACCACTGCACCAGAGATTAAGAGCCACACCGCTACGAGTACAGGGACTCCCATGCCTACCACGGCTCCAGCTTGGAGAAGCACCTTGCGCCTGCACGCGCGAGAGCGAATGGTCTCGATAACTGTGCAGACCATCTCAACTTGTCTGAGGGTCTCCTCCAAGGCGGTGATGATATTATCGTTATGCCGCTCCCGCACGCGCATAACCTCGTCAAGGAGCTCTTCGCGCTTCTTCGAGAAAACCTCCATGGGAAGCATTGAACGGGCAGCGCGCGCTGCATTTTCAAAGCCTTCGTTGTACACAGTGTAGACCTGTGGTATGTCCTTCCACTTGATTACCTTCGACAGCGCCCAGCCCAGAGAACCATACGCCCTAGCAAAGTCCACCGAATTGTCCAGTTTGTCTACCTTGTTGAGAACAATCAGGAACTTGTGGTTCAGCCCTTCGAGAGACTTCGTCAAAACCTCCAGGGTCTCGCCCGTAGTGCCTGGCTTGTCTGGGTCGAATAGTAACAGGATGAGGTCAGAACGTTTTGCCCACCACCGCACCACGTCCACGAAATTGTATCCTCTGCCGCGGGTGTTTGCACCGGGGGTGCCCGTGTTTGCTGGCAGGTCGATCATGCCAGGGGTGTCAACGATCTGAAGTCCGAAAGGCACGCCGCTTCCTTATAAGAAGAAAAACGTCATAAACATAAATGTTTGGCGCTCCGCACGGCTTTCTTCTTGGATCTGCACCACACCACCCTCCCTGGCGCGCGGAGCGCGCCAGGGGCGGCGCCTGAGGTGCCGCCGGGGGGCCCAGCGCGGATCCAAGAGATCCGCGAGGAGCGCCAACAATGCATGTTTCTGGCATTCGTTCTTCCCCGATTCCCTCTGGCAGGACGATCCGCTTCCTCTTCAAGTGGCCCGAGAAGATCTGCCCGAAGCGCCGAAGCTCGGCGTAGGGGCGATTCTCGGGGCACCCCATCACCGTGGGTCCGTCCTCCTGCTGGTCCCTCGCGTGCCTCTCCAGGATCGTGAACCCGTCGTCCGTTGGGGCCACCCCTGTCTCTTGCAGGTCCTCTGCGGGAGCCGAACGGGAGGAGGAGAAGGAGGAGGAGGAGGAGGAGGAGGAGGAGGAGGGGTTCCTGAACGTTGGTCAGGCTGACCCCAACTGAAACAACCCCCGTCCCCCCCCGGGTCTTGCACTCCGTCGCCCGCCTCGGCTACCATGACACTCCAAAAGAACCAAAGGCCGCTTGGAACGGCTGCGTACTCAGAAGACGCCGCAAGACCGGCAACACACGGGCCAACGAGCCCCACAAGCTCGACGGTCTCCTCAAGATGCCCCCCCAGAAAGGCCTGACGTACCCTCCAAGAAACGTTCGGTCTCCAGCAAGGCCCTCGGAAGCCAACACACACATAAAACAACAGAGGGAAAAACATAATGGCTATGTCCAATGTTTTTTGGTTTGGAGGAGGTGCTTCAGATACTGACGAATAACCTTCAGAGAGCGCCACGAAGTCACCAATGATGTCCGAGATGGCCCCACGCGAGCGCCCCCAGACAGCTCTAAGAGCTTACACTTCGGCTTCCCGACGGCTCCAAGGCAACCCAATACCCCCCCAAAACGGCTAAATACGCTTCACGAACAGTATGTCACGGCGCAGTTAGCCACCACAGGCAACATGGCGTCCCCAAGACGACCCACGAGGCCCGAATAAGTCAGAAAGAGACGACCAAGGAGTCCTCCAGCGAGGCCATAAGAGTCGAAACACTTTGAAACACCCAAAACGTAAATGCGTTGTGCTACCTATCCTTCTGGGCTTCAGATCTACTCGAATCAACTTCAGAGGGTCTCAAAAGCCCACAAGACGGCACAAGAGAGCCCCAATATTACCCCAATGCAGCCCCAAAGCTGCCCTCTCCCCCACTCCCCCCCCCAAATAAACGGCCCAGGGGGCTTCACGATGGCCCCAGACCTGCCCAGAAGTCCCCAAGATGATTCCATCTAGTCTCTTCGGGGAACTCTGCGGAACAATCGAGCCCACGATGGCACCGAGACATCCCACGGGCCCCGTTGTGCCCCGCCATCAGGTCCGCGGGAGAGCGCAAGAGGCCCTCAATATAAAACGGAGCACCCAGGAAGCGTCCACTGGTCTTGCCTTCAAACAAATGAAAAAACGAGGAAGATGAGAACGAGGCTGCGGACAAGGATCGGGTGTTCAAGACCCGCACCAATTCTAACAAGGCGCTGAAATGGAGCGGCTCTCGAACACAACCTCCTTCCAGCTGCGCTGCTGAGCTGGCACGGTGGCGGGGTATGCCTCAAGCAGCTGGATTATACGGTGCCGCTGCTCCCCCGACCTCTCCCGGGGCGCATTCTGACCAGGATTCCGAGGCAATTCCAGCCGTGGTGACGAGACCTCCCTGAAGGCCCCTAGAGGCGAACAACGAGGTAAGGATCATGCTATCGGCACATTTTTCTCCTCCGATCCTTGCCGAACATTCGGTTGATGAAAGTTGACTTCCCAGAGGAGTGATTGCCGATCACCAGCACCTATCACAATCCTCGTTGCACCCGCCAGTCCGATCCCCTTTCGCGCACCAACTTCCCCCCTCATCCCTCGCGGGAGCTGGGGAAGAAGTGGGAACAAATAACCCCAGACCTTTGGCCACTCGAACGAATCGGAACGGCTCTTTTCTGAGGATTCTATGCCTCCAGAACTTAGTGGGCCCCGGGAACGGCAGGGCCGTTTTTCCACCGTTTCTGAAAAAGTGTCTCTTGAAAATGGAAACGACAACAAAAAAACTGCGACCAAAAACGGCAAAGAAACGGCTCTGGGATTGGAGCCGGAGCCGGAACCAGTAAAACAAGGGCGACGGAACCTGTAAACAAACGGCATCGGAACCGGCAGCAAAAACGGCAAAACGGAACCAGTGAAAGAACGGCCGTCGTTTCCATGGCCCACTAAGCTATAGAACGCTATAGAACGGTTGCTAGGCCGCGAGGCCCATCAGCAACTACTCTTAGGTCGGGCATGTCCCACTACAGGCGGATTTTGGTCGAAAACTAAAAAAACAGTCGAACACCATGTTCAAAAAAAAGACGGACGTGGTCGAAACATCGTCCCCAGATGCTTCTAATCTTATTTTGGAATGCTCCTCGTGTAGAGGGATGTGCCCGACTTGATACTAAGCTCCGGACCCGTTTCCAGGCCGCGGGGCCCATCAGCAACTACGCTGGGCGAGCAACGACATATGTACATGTACGCCCTCCGCGGTCTTGCCTGCACGAACGTCCGCGTCGACACGCACTCCAGGGGAAACTAACCGCGTACGTGTACATATGTTGCTGGCCTCTGATACGCCGCACGGCAGGCAACGCCGGGGCAGGGGGTCGAGGGATCCGTGGGCCGGCGGCTTGGCAGGACCGAGCCGTCGGAGGGCCGGGTAGGCGGCGCGCGCCAGGGAGCAGGGCGAGGTTGGCGGCCCCAGTTACTGCGGGATGACGAGTAATAAAACGGGGGGGGACCGATTAAAAAAACGAGTAATAAAAACGAGTAATAAAACGAGTAATTAAAACGGGATGACGATTAATAAAACGAGTAATAAAAAAACGGGGGGGGGGGGGGGGGAACGATTAAAAAATAGTTTTCTGCGATTTCTGCACAATGTTCGGACTGGAGGAGAACGAGGAAAAGAAATAGTTTTCCAGCCCGCGGCCAGTTTTTTCTAATCGTCATCCCGGGCGCCGCCGCGTGAACACGACCCCCGGTCATTTATTAATCGTCATCTTCCATTACAGTTTGGTCGGGCATTTCCTCCTACAGGCGGATTTTGGACGATCAATCGTTTAAAACGCCCCAAAAACAGTCAGACAGCCATGGAAAACTCGTCCTCAGACGATTTTGCCTTGTTTTTTGTTTGTTTGTTTGAATATTACTCTTGTAGAGGGACACGCCCAACTTTGCCCTATAGGACGGCGGGTGGGGCGTCTTCTGCTTTTGCTTTCTGTTTTCTGTTCGAGCCTTCTGTTCTTGTGAGGGGCAACGGTCAGGGGGGCAGGCCTAGGGGGGGAGCATCGACCCGGAATCGGCGACATGTCGCCGATAGACCGGCGACAGGCCCCCGATATAGCGCAGTGCGCGATGGGGTATCGATCGCGCCGCCCAGCCTTTCTGCGCGCCGGCTAGGGCATGGGGGGATGACTGGATCGGCGGGCGCAGCGACGGCGCTTGTGGGTGGCAAGCATATACACCACCACCACCACTTCAATTCTTCGAGTAGGGGATCGACTACAGGCTCGATTTACCCTTGAATTGATTGGTTCGTCGAGTTCATGGCGAATGCGTAGAAAGCGCGCAAATCTACGACAACTCTACGTATGACTCGACGAGAAAATCAAAGTTGGGGTAAATCAATTCTTGAGTCGATCCCCTACTCGAAATCTTCCTCCCTCCTTTGCCTCCTCTTCCTCTCCTCTTCCCTGGGAGCAGGATGGGATGAGGGAGGTGGTGGTGGTGGTGGTGGTAATGGTGGTGGTGGTGGTGGTGGTGGTGGTGGTGGTAGTGGTGGTGGTGGTGGTGGTGTTTGTCGGCCCCGTAATTGGTGATCGTCTGGGCGCCATCGGCGTGAAGGGGAACGAGTGGAAGTCGTACTCGAACGGGCGCCCAGGTAGCCGTTCGTCCAACGGGCGCAGCACGACGTCCTTTGAGCAGGGACTGACCGTTTCAGCATTTCTGTAAGCCTTCCACGGGATCTTCTTCGGTTTCGGAATTTCCCCTCAAAAAAGACGCTGTTCTTATAACGTAAACTCAATGCGTTAAAAAACAAGTCAGTCTCAGCCAGAAATGCTGTAAAAACATTTCGCGTAAACCACAACAAGTTTTTCTAACATCCTTCGGTGGGCGTATAGAGAAGCCAGGACGCTTCGCCACTGCTTGAGTCCTGGATGAAGCCGAAGATCGTGCTAAGCTCCGCCGAAGGGTCCCTGGGCCAGCCCGCACCCGAGGAGCGCTGGCCGTCGGGGATGGCGTACGGCCTTAGGCGTGGCCGTGCGCTCCAAGCCTCTGGGAGCAGGCAGGCATCCACCGCGGTGGGGAGGGCGAGAGGGGAGGAGGAGGCGGAAGAGGAGGAGGAGGAGGAGGAGGAGGAGGAGGAGGAGGAGGAGGAGGAGGCTAGACTTGACCCCAAAAAGTCATGCAAGACGAATTCGAACCAAGGGACCGCCCAGGCAACTGGCCCACGCGCCCGTGCGCAGCGAACTGCGCGCGGGCACTCGGATCAGAAGCCTGGGTGGTCCTCAGGACCCTGGGCCGCACGGGCCCTCTGCCTCGACGCAAGGGCCTCGGCTCTGGCCCCCCGCTGGGCGTGCGCCAGCTGGGGCCCGAAGGGCGGTAAAACCTTAAGGACAGTCGGCCTCTTCGGGCCGTCGGTCGGGGAACCCGTTCGGGCCTCCTCGGAGCGGCCGCGGCAAAAAAGGCCCAGTCCAGAAATCGATTCAGATTCCAAGGGCGACCTAAAACTACCAAGAAGACCGATTCCGCTCTTGGGATGCTTCCCGCACTTGGTACTGCTACGCTTATTCTTGGCGCTGGGGATTGGGCCCCCAGAGCATGTATCCTGGAGGCCTCGTCCCTTCTCCTTGATATGTACCCACAGCACGTGGAGCAAAACATCAATATACCATTCGACTGCGCAGCCTCGCGGGCATTTTGATCAGCGAAGATCGGCGCCGCGAGCAGTGCGTGCCCGCGCGTGCGCCAAGGCCGCCGGGCGCTGTCAGCGGCTGCCTGCTGGCCCCCGTCCGAGCAGAAGGAGCTGGCCCCAAGCATCACGCCGCCGCCCCCATGTGGGCCTCCTGCGACGCTGCGCACTGCACCGCCTGTCGGGCAATTACCTGGCAGCCCTCGAGGCACTGGGTGTCGGCCAGGGGCGCCCTGGCGGCCGCAGCACCCTCCTTGGCTCGCTGGTCCGCCCTGGCGTTGCCGTCCAGCTCGGATTGGGTGGTCAGACCGTTCCTCGCCGCAGACTGGCCCAGGTGGGCCTTGACCTTGGCCGCAGTGGCGTCTTGGAGCCTCTCCACCCTACCAGCCCAGAGGTGGGCGCGCTGGCTGCTGGCGGACGCCGCCGCCACTAGGCAGCCGCGCAGCGCGCGGTGGCGAGGCAGTCAATGTAGAGGCGGAAGGCGCCGCCTGCCGCTGTGTCCGCCAGCACCTTCACTGCGTTGTCCTCGCCATCCCTGGCCAGCTGCTCTGGGCCCTCGCTGAGCGCCCCAGGCCTCGGCGACGAACTTGCCGTTCCCGTCGTGCACCGCGGCGGACCAGCCGGCAGCCCGCAGGTTGGGGTAGGCCTGGGCGAGGCCCGAGCCATCGACGAAGATGTGCTCCCAGTTGAGGCAGGGCCCAAGCTCGAGCCAACTGGTGGGGCACCGGCAGAAGTCGTCCACTGGCCGCGTCGGCCGCTGGAAGAGCTCCGACACGTCGGCGAAGAGCCCCCAGGCGAGCAGCTCTGTGAACGGGTAGCCGAGGCCCTCCACCTACTCACCCGCCTGCCGCAGCGGGGAATCGAGGAGCTCGCGTCGCCATCCGTCGTGGGCCTCGCACTTGAAGAGCCTGTGGAAGAGGGGGCCGTCCTTGAAGCCACGCAACTGGAATGCCCCCGCGCCTCGTATACGCTGCCCTTGGCGTCGCGGAGTCTGCATGGGACCGCCTTCGACAAAACCCCGCTTCACCCTCTCGGGCGTGAGGGCCAGCGCGCCGACGGGCTCCTTCACCATGCGCCGATGGCCTGCCCCCTGGCCAGGAAGGAGCGGGCGGCGGCCTCGGGCAGGAGCGAAGCCCAAACTATCTCCACGAACGCCATGAGCGCCGAATCAACGGGTCGCGGTTCCCGCCGTTCGTCTGGGCGAGGCTGGCCATCCCCAGCGCCGCCCCGCGGGGCAAACGGCTGCGAGCCTTGGCGGTGCCAACTCGCAGCTGGCGTAGGCGCCCGCTGGGGGCTCCCACGATGGCGGAGCCCCGCGTTGCTTTGGCCGTCGTCCCCGCGCGGTGGTCTCGAGCTCGGTCTAGCCCGGGCCCGAAAAGCTTGGTGAGCTTCCGCCCCTGGGCCTTGGCCTGCCTTTCTCGGCTGGCCGTCGCGGTCGCTCCGCGGTAGGGCCCCGAGACGGCGTCGCCTCCGAAGTCCCTTTGCACGCCCGCGAAGTCCTCCATCTCGAGGTCCCAGCCAGGCTGGCGCATGAGCGCCTCGCGCAGTGCATCGCTGGTCGCTAGCGCCTTGGTCCGGCGCCTGCTGGGCGGCAGGCGGGCCTCCTTCACCCCGGCGCAGGAGGCCTTGTAGGTGCCCCCCAGCTGCTGCGCCACCATGGTGAGCGGCCCCGTCGCGTGCGCAGCGAGGTCGTCCACCACGTTCGCTGAGCACTCCGGCAACGGGGGCGGCCATCGCGGCGGCTCGCAGGGAGGAGCTTAGCCAAGGCCGTGGCGCACAAGCATCCAGCGACAGCCGTGCCATTGGCCGTGATGGCCCCGCTCAGACAGGTGCCGACGCGCACCCTCCTTCGGGCCAAATACCGCAGCAGAGGGCCCTCAGCGAGCGCGCGTCGAAGCCCAGGCCGGCGCTGCAACCCGCGGCTTGGCTTGCCCTATGCGCTCGTAGTGCTTAGATCGGTCGACGTAGAAGGAGGCAGCTTCCTCCTGGGAGCCCTTGGCGCGGGCCACGCACGCGCTGTGGACCCGGGCCGCCTTGTCGCAGCCCATGGCCGAGGACGTGCCCCATAGTGCCGAGTGGTCGACGGGGCGCCTCCACCTTGCGAAGCCCTTCTGGCGGATGCACGACCAGATCCTGGCCAGCAGCGACGCGCGCCCGATAGGCCGCTGCCCGCCGTCTGGCTTCGGCAGGAAGTCCATGATGATGGCCCAGAGCTCGCCGCAGTGCGGGCCGCCCTCCCGCGCGTTCAGCAGGCTGGCCATCCCGCTCAGCATGTCATCGCACACCTTCAGAAGAAGGCGTGGGTGGAAGTTGCCCCGCCCCAGCCCTGCGCGGGGCGGCTTGCGCGAGGCCAGCTTGCTGCCGCCCACTGTGATGGGCCGCAACGACCAACCGCAGACCTGCCAGGATGCTGATTGCTCCTGGTTGTCGCGGCGGGGGTCGGCCCAGAGCGGGGGCCGGTCTGCCGGCGCCCTCTCCAGCGCTGTCTGGCCAACCAGCGCCAGGTCGGACGTCCCAGCCTCGAGGATGGGCGCAGGCTCGCCGCGGGTCTTCTTGGAGACCTCGTGGGCGATAGAGCCCTGGCGCTCGAAGGCCTCGTCGGGGAACTCCTCCCACTTGAGCTTGCAAGCCTCGGCGTCCTCCTTGGCGCGGTTGCCCGCGAACTGCTCGACGATGGCAAGGGGCCGGTAGCCCGCGTCGGATTGGTGGGCGATCTCGTCCCAGAAGCTGCCGACGATCGCGCCGTCGAACATTGTGGAAGTCCGAGGCCAGCCTCCGCGACGCCATGTGGAGCTGCTGATCTCGCCGGACCTCGTAGTTGCCTGGCTGGCCACCAGGGCCCCCAGGGCTGCGCTTGGCGAGGTGGCGCAGCGAACGCCAGAGCTGCGTGGCAAGCGAGGCTCTGCCAATGCGGTTCGCCTGGGCCTGGGCCTCCAGCGGGGCGGCATTCGTCCTGGGGCCCTTGGCCCTGCCCTTGAAGCAGCGGGCCTCGCTGTTGCGCATGCCGCGGGGCGCCTGCAGGGACTCCATGGCCTGACTGAACCAGCCCATGACCTGCCCCATCGGCGCCTTCGTCGGGCGGGGGCCATGGCAGCGCAGCTGCCGCCGCATCTCGAAGCACTTCGGCGCCCGCTGGGCCTGGGCCATGGGCCGCCCCCGGCAGCCTCGCGGCAGGAGCGTGGCCGCCGCGCGGGGGCCGTTGGGCGTGTCTGCGTGGACTGCGATGGAACCAACCATATCCTCCAGCGCCGTGGAGGTGACGAAGAAGTCGTACTCGTTGTCGTTGCAGGTAGCCGTGCCTGGGTCTACGACTGCACCGCCGATCAGCTCGGGCCCAGCCTGAGGAGGTGAGCTCGCTGGCCTCGACGTCCAAGTCGCCACCGATGACGAAGGCCTCGTCCAGGTGAGCGCGCCGCTCGCGGAGGTCCTCGAGGAGCTGGCGGCTCGCCCCCTGGGGCCCGACGCCATCCTCCAGGTAGATGGAAACCAATGTGATGGTGGTACCCTCTGCCAGGGATAGCCCACGGGCAATGGCCCTGCGCTGCGCGACTGTCCACGGCCGACGGCGTCGGGCCGAGCCCGGCAGGCGGGCGACGCCCGCTCCTGATGGCACCGCCATGGCCGCCCCCTCCCCCCCCGTCCTGGGGACTCCCGAGCATGCCAGCTGCTGGCCGCGTCGGCTGGCCCAGCCGCGGGCCTGCTCCTCCACCGGATGGGGGGGGGGAGAAGCGCGTCTCCAGGACAAGCAAGACGTGCGGCTCGAGCCCTTTCCTGCGCATCCACTCGCGGGCGCTGGCGGCCGAGTTCCACGTGTTACCGCTGCGCACGCAGAGGCGGAGGCCTTCGTCTAACTTGCCTGGGGCCAACTCCAGCGGCCCTTGGTGGGGTGAGAGCTGGGCCAGCTGCAGCAAAAACCAAGCCGAAACTGGCTGTGCTGGTCCATCTGTCATGATGGTGAAGAGGAAGGAGCCCTCTTTGCCTTGGTTGCGCTGTCCGCGCCTGTCCTCTGACGTGCGCCGCTAAGGCCGCCGAGGGGATGGCTGCGGCGCCGCGACGAGTGGGGGCGCACTCGCTCTGTTTTTCCGCGTCCCTATTGGCCACGACGGGCTCGTGCGACTGGTTGCCCCGCGCGAGTGCGTCCGCGACATCTGGCGCAGTGGCCGCAGCATGCTGCGAAGGATGAATTTCAGGTGGCCGTGCTTCATGATGTAGAAAGTCGGGGTCCTGGCAGAGGTCTGAGAAAAGGGTCGCACTCCTCCTCGCCCAGGCCGCAGTGCTCGCTGGCGCCGACGGCGGCGCCGCGCCCCCTCGGGGTGCCCTCTGCCATGCTGAACGCTGGGCGCCCCAGCAGCAACACCACCGCGAGGAGCCTCAGCAGCGCCCGCAGGAGGGGTGCCCGTGTCTTTGGCCGCTTTGGCTGCGGCCAGCTCCTAGAGCCCCACCTCGGCCGCCCGGGTGGTTTCGGCGGCGGGCTCGGCGGCGACCGGCTTGGCGCGGCAGGCGCCGCTGGGGCTGCGGGCGCGCCCGCTGGTGCCGCAGGCTGGTCCGCGGGGCTGCCGGGCTCGTCTCCCAGCGGCGCGTCCTCGTCGGCTGGCGACCTTGCGCTTCTTGGCTGCTTACGCCGCTGCGACTTGCTTGGAGACGCGGCCCAGCTGGGCGCAGCAGCTGGCCTTGGTAATTGGCCAGGCTATCCTCGGCGATCTGCTTCCCAGTGCGGACCATCTCGCGGAGGTTGTCCTGGGCCTCCTTCTCCAGCTCCTCGAGGCCGTCGGGAAGGCTGAAGTCGAAGAGGACCTGTGTCCGCGACGTCCTGCTTGATGCCCGCCTCCTTCCTGGTTGCGCTGGCGGAGCGCCACCTCCTCCTCAGCCTGGGCCTCGGCCAGGGTCAGCGCCTTCCCGTCCCGCCATGCCTTGGCCTCCTCGAGCGCTTGCTCGCGCTCGGCGACGGCCCACGCGGCGGAGTCCAGCGCCGCGGAGGCGTGCTGGCGAGGATATACCGCCGACTGGGGCCTCAGCGCTGTGGTGCCAGGCGCACGGGGAGGCGGCTGGGCCTCGCGCCTGCGGGCCGCCTCGACTGCTGCACGCAAGGCCTCCGCCACCCCTGGGTCCTGCAAGGCGAGGAGCATGCCCATCTCGCTGGGGCTTATGGCCGCCCCGCGCGCCCATGGGGCCTTGGGGAAGTTCGGTTGGTCCTGTCCAGCGCCTGCGGCAGCCGCCGCATGGGCTCCATTGCCGTTTTTGTTTTCTCTGCCTTTGCACTTGCCCGCCTTATCCTTGCCGCCTCTGCGTTCAGGCTTGCCCGCATCACCAGCGCCATTGGCCCAGGCGCCGCGCGGCGATGGGCTGGGCGAGGTGCCGTCGGCGAGCGCCATGCCGCAGTGCTAACAGTTCGTGCTTGCGGAAGGTGCAGCGGGTAGCGGCACGCGGTGCACACGACGAAGCCAGGAGCCGCCTTCGCACTCTGAGCGCTCGGGACAGCAGGAACGGGAAACACCTCCGTTTACCCAACGGCCCAAACGCTGGGCTCGTGGAAGAAAGCCCCTGCCAGACTTCAAGAAGTCTTGCCTGCCGCGGACTAACGGTATCCACTTTTTCCCGTGAGGACAACATCACCTTGAGCCACAATGGCTACGGAGGAGGAGGAGGAGGAGGAGGACCGCCAAGGAAACGACCCAGGACGCAGAGCTGGTCCTGGGGGAAAGCCACCCAGGGGGGTCCAGGGTCCAGAGGTCGACTGGCCACAGGTTGCGCAGATCTGGCAATGATGCTGATAGTGCACGGCAGGGTGAAGAGGGGGGGCTCTCGAATCGCCGGCCCCCAAGTTTGGCAACCATAGAGGCTCCCGCGCCCGCCTGACACTTCCTCGCAACATTAAATCACAGACGCGCTCTCGCGCGGGACGTCCTGGCAATGTATTATGGAATCGCGCTCTCGCTTGGGACTTCCTCGCGCCTTTGTGACGGCCGATCCACGGCCTGATAACCCCGACCCCCGACCCAGCCAGCACGATCCATCCCAGGCCGCAGGGCCCTCGGCTGATACAGAGTTCCCGCGGTCGCAGGTCGCAGGTTGCCAGGTCGTCGGTCCTCCTCCTCCTCCTCCTCCTCCTCCTCCTCCTCCTCCTCCTCCTTCTCCTCCCTCTCTTCCTTATCCTCTTCCTCCTCCTCCTCCTCCTCCTCCTCCTCCTCCTCACTCCTCCCCCTCCTCCTCCTCCTCCTCCTCCTCCTCCTCCTCCTCCTGCCTCCTCCTCCTCCTCCTCCTCCTCCTCCTCCTCCTCCTCCTCCTCCTCCTCCTCCTTCCCCTCCTCTCCTCCTCCTCCTCCTCCTCCTCCTCCTCCTCCTCCTCCTCCTCCTCCTCCTCCTCCTCCTCCTCCTCCTTCCTCCTACAGTGATCCCAGGTCGCAGCGCTCTCGCGAGTCCGATCGAACGGCCCGGTTCCGATTGATGGACGGTCCTCGGCCCGATCGGCAGAGAGGGCGCCCTCTCAGCGCACGGCCTCCTCAAGGACTGCGACTTCCTCGTCCTGTCCTCGGGCCGGGCGTTCGCAGACGGGGGGGGCAGGTCCAGAGGGAGAACGAACATCGAGCTTGACGACCACTGAAGTAAAGGGAGCACTGGCTCCAAGACGGAATCGACCACTGACCCCAGCCTGGGGGCTAACCTCAAAAGGTATGAAGACCCCCCCAATAAGGGATAACAAATTATTTGTTCTGCGGACTCATTGAAGGGCTGGGGTTCCACCACTAGGGGGTACTAAATTGTTTGTTTCGCGGCACCCGCCGCGCAACAACAACGACGACGACAGCTACGACTACGATTGCGACTACGAGGACGAGGAGGGGGATGAGGAGGAGGAGGAGGAGAAGGAGGAGGAGGCGGAGGAGGCAGAGGAGGAGGTTTCAGGGCTATTCACCGCCGAGAGAAGGGAGGTGGGAAACAAAAGTAAAGACCTTCCGGGGTGAACCCCAAAACCCTCCACAGCTCCCGCTCGAGGGCCACGCGCCCCGGCGCGAGAGCAGCACGGACCCATGGGCAGATGCCTCCTGCATCGTAGGATCGCGGCGCATCGCCGATACACCGGCGATACATCGTCAATGCATCGGCGATGCATCGGCGTTGCACCAGCGACCAGCGATGCATCGTCGACGTCGGCGATGCATCCGCGACGTCGACGTGAAGCAATTTGGGCTCCACATCGAGCCGCATCGCCGATGCATCGGCGATGCGGCGCGATCCTCCGACCCCATCTACCCCGACCCCATCTAGGAGGCCTAGAGTGGGGGCCCGTCCGCGTGAGAGCAGCGATGGGGCTGCAGCGGCGAGGAGCTGGGGCGGGTCCAGACCCGCCGCAGACATCTGGACCGGACTCCTGGGCTGGAGAGAAGCTTCTCCGACGGGCCTGGGCCGTCCCCGAGCACCTGCCTCCCCCTTCTCCTCCATCTGGCTCCTCCTCCTCCTCCTCCTCCTCCTCCTCCTCCTCCTCCTCCTCCTCCTCCGTCGTTGCTCCCAGGGTAGTCCCCAGGATAATCCTCCCTCCTCGCTCCCCTCCGTCCAGCCATTCCTGGCTCCGCCGCGGGTCGTGGGGAGGGGACAGCCCAGGCCCGGGTCTTGGGGGGCGCAGACGCAGGAGTTGCATCCCCCGTCAGGGCCAGCGTCTCAAGCCCGCCTTTGCCCCACCTGCCAGCGGAGGAGGAGGAGGAGGAGGGGGAGGAGGAGGAGGAGGAGGAGGAGGAGGAGGAGGAGGAGGAGGAGGAGGAGGAGGAGTGGAGTGGAGCAATCGGACGTAGTCCGTTCGGAACCCAGGGATGCCAGGGGGGCCATCCAGTATTTCTCGGAGGGCCGTGGGGGGCGACATCCCACGGCCCACCGCGACAGGCCCCCCTGGCCTCGCAATTTACTCGGTGGCAGCACCCGCCGCGAAGGAACCGATCGCGGCTTCGGCTGCCGAAACGTGCAAAGCTTCTAGCACTGCCTTGCTGGGACCCGCTCTGGACGGGTGGAGGCCTCGCCTGATCCTGCTGAGGTTCTCGAGGCCTTTGCCAGTGGGTCCCAGGGCCCTGCGCTCTCCCACTTGGTGGGAGAGAGGGCACGGCAAAATAAGGCTTTTAACCTGGTGCGTGGCCGTATGGCCGCACTTCACACAAAAGAACAACTGCCACTTGGGGATGGTGGCCAAAAAGTGGGAGGGGTGGATCAACTTGCCACTGATCACGCGGGGACCCCTCGACCACAGCACCTCTCCACACGCAGCGAACTCGGGAAGGGGGCAAGGCGGCGCACACTCAGTGGCGGCAGCTGGAATAACGTGGCACGCGTCAACGATGATCAGGCAGGCAGGGCATCTCCATTTGTCTGCACACCGCTCGAATTTGTGCTGAGAAGCCGCGATCGCGGTCTGCAACTGAGAGCGAGGGGCTGCAACCTGGGTGGGTTGCCTTTCTGGCCACTGTCCTCGAGGCTCTGAATTCTTGCCTAAGGAACGTAAGATCAGTCGGGCCCTCTGTCGGACGATGGCTACAATAGCGTCATATTCATCAGTCCTGGGGACAGGCGGGAGGGCAAGGGTGGCCGACTTGTGGGCCGCGCTTCCCGCGAGCTCATCGGCATGCTGGTTGCCGAGAGCCATAAATTTTTGAAAACCATTCAAAGTGAGGGGATCGGCGTGAGATGGGGTCCAGAGCACCGAGACCGAAGAGCAGCCGCCAGATCGATCCTGCACGAGGTGCCGAATTCTCAGCCAGAGATCCCTATTCTTATTCTTGCCTCTGAGGCTGCCAGGTCGGAGACATCTGCCATTCTGCCAGCCGCGCTGTAGGGCTAGGTGATCAGTAACAAATGTGAAATCCTGCTGGCACGTCTCTAGAGCCAGGCAAAACGCATGCAATTCGCCTCTTGGGACAGTCTGGCGGGGGCCTGGGAGGGGGGCGAGGAGGCCAGCATGGAGGGCCCAGGAGGCCGAGGGAGGGTCCCATCGGAGGGCCGCGAGGCCAGAACCAACACGTTTTCGTCTGACGTCGTCGGAAAAGGCGCCGCCAGACCCGTCGCCAAAAAGAAACAACTCGCCCTCAGCGTTACGAGCTCCTTCCCACGACGGCAACCCATCCCGCACCGCACCAACAAACTCCCACCCGTCCCTCCCAGTCAATGGCTCGAACGCGGGCGTAGTGAGAGCGACGGAGGGAATGCCACGGAGCCACGGGGCAGGGTCAGCTTCGGCCCCCGCCACGGCTCGCGGTAGTAGCTTGTCACTGGCCTCAAACTCGGGTCCCACATTCGCCTCGCACTGCCACATACGGCGAAACAGGGTTTCAGGAACTCCTGCGCTGCATCGGTCGCAGTTCCTGTCGATCTGGTAGCCCGCGTTGTGGAGGCGGTCCCTGGTCCATTGCCCTCCACTGATGACGGTGTTGCTGAGGGCCCAGTCGCTGAAATCACCGTTTGCGAGGAGCCTCCTTTGCTCGATGCGGATAGTGACCATGTCCGCTCCTCCAGCCAGCGTGTCGCCATGGTCATGGGTAGCGGCCTGAGTCCAGAGGAGCCTGTGCAAATCCTCGCTGAGGTCCTGCAATACTGTGTGGATGTCGGCGTCGGGGAGGTCAGGGTCGTGGGCAGAGGGGAGGTTCCACTCCTCAATGTAGCCGTCCTTTGTGCGCCTCCACGTGGTGGCTGAGGTCGGCTCCCAGCTGGCCTCCAGCAGTGTCGCGATGGCCGCGCCAGTGGGCCCTTTGACCCTGCACCACAGCTTGGGGCCTGCGGCTAGCAAGGTGGTCTTGATCCTTGGCCATGCTCTGATGATCCTGGCGTGCGTTCTCGGGTGGCGTATCCAGTGCTGGAGCCAAGCCTCGATGAACTCGATTCTTAGGGAAACTCCTGGGTCCATGCCGTCGAAGGTGGCGCCGAGGAGGGAGGTGAGGCATCGGCCCGCTGCTGCCCCCGTGGCCGCGATGGCGGCCTGACGGCGCCATCGTAGTAGAGCGTGTCGAGCAAGGCCGTGCACCTGATGACCGAAGACTCCTTCGGGGAGAGCGCCAGTACGCCACAGTCCTGCTGAGATCCGAGCCTGCTGTGCAGTGCTCCGTAGTCGGTGTATCTTGCGAAACCTAGCTGCGGCTGAGCTCTGTCGCTTACTGGCTTTTGCTTGTACTCGTCGAGTAGCCGCGGCCGCGTCGACTCCGAGGTCAACGGCCGTGGCGGTCGCTGTGACAGGGATGTCGTACTGCCGCAACTTCTTGGCAAGCGATTTGCGGACCTTGGGGGTGGAGCCGATGAGGACCGTCTTGTCAGAGATGGGCAGCTCGAACTCCTTTAAACCGTCGCAGAGCGTCTTGGCGGCACGGGGGAGGTGCTTCTGAAGTGTGCGTAGGACTCCTTCGACTCGAAGGACGGTGTCGTCTACGAAGGTCCACATCTGGGCTAGCTCAGCCTGAGCTTGGGCTTGCCGTAGAATAGGAAGTAATATGAGTCGCGCCAAGGTCGTGCCATGCGGGGAGCCTGCGATGATGCATTTGGAGGCGAAGATAGGCATACTCACCCATTGTCGGCTGCGCAAGAATCTGGGCGCGAGGTATAGCTGTACTTCCAGAGGTAGAACGATGGGTGGGAAGCCGCAGTTGAGGCCGACCATGATGAGGTTGGCGAGCTTGATATTGTCGTAGAACTTCTGGATGTCCAATAGCAATGTGGCTGACTGTATGCCAAGTGCTGAGGCTGTCTCGTCTAACAAGGCCCTGTGCAGGGCGGCCTGGAGAGCTGAGGAGCCTTTGATGGCTGTAGTCCAAAAGTCATCCAGTCCTTGGGTCCAGGAAGTAGATGCAGTCGATCTGATGCGAGACCAGAGCCTGGCCATGTGAGGTAGCATGCCGAGGACCCTGTCGCCTCCAGACCTCTTGGCTGCTAGGGCTGCAATAGTGCCTGAGATTTGTAGTGGCCAAATGCCTGCCTGCTCTACTGCGTTGAGGATATCCGCGTAGGCTTCGACTGCTGGTTCTGGTAGTCGATGGAGGTCGCGAGGTCCAAGTGCGTCCACTCCATGTGCTTTACTGGGTGGCATGCGGCCGTGAAAGCGATGTACGATCTCGGCTGTGATGGGCTCGAGCGGTTGGTGTGCGGCTGCTGCCTTGGCCTTTGATAGCGCCTGTAGGATGTCGTCAGGGGTCTCTGTGGCCTGCCATACTTGTTGCCATTGTTGCTTCTTGCTGTCCATGATAACGGTGGGGTCGGCGATGGTCAGGTTGGTCGTGTAGGCCTCGATGTGACGCACGGGCGCTGGCTTGACATGGGCGTGTAGTACTCCAGGGCGGTGTTTCCATTGCTTGGCGAGCCAGGCGCCGTAGGCCCTCTTGGACTTAGCGAGGGCGGCGGAAAGCGCTCTGGAGGGCCAAGTAGCAGTAATGGTGACCAGGAGGAGGAGGAGGAGGAGGAGGAGGAGGAGGAGGAGGAGGAGGAGGGGACGGGCCGTCTCACCCGGTGCCACCGTTATCAAGAAGGTGCAGTTCACGAGGCGAGGTGGGCGATTTCCCATCCTGGCTGGTGGCAGCGGACGTGCAGTCCCGAGGAGCCCCCCGCGACCCTCGGCGAAGGGCAAGCCTCACCTCCTATTTGAAAGAGAGCCGACTCGGCTACCCAGTGCGCGGAGGGCGGGCAGTAACAGCAGGGAGCGTGGTGTGAGAAGTCCCACCAGCCCCCTGGGCGTGAGTGGTTTAGAGCTTTTCCTCGTCAAACCCATTTCTTCCTCTTCGGGGAGGGCCTTCCTGCTCCCAATGAATGAGCCCCTCCCTCCCCCACCCGTCCAGCAGCCAACCCAGACCCACCACAACCCTGGCCCACCACCCCTGCCAACAGATCTGGAGCATGCGCGGGCGCCCCGCGACCACGTTGCATGGGTTTCTGACAGGGGAGGCGGGGGGGGCCCTCCTATTGCTTGCTGTGCGCAAGCTGGACATCCCGATCCAGCGACAATGCAAAATACACTGGGCTTCCAAATCTGGAGCATGCGCGGGCGCGCCGCGACCACGTTAAATGGTTTTTGACCAAGGACGACGGGGGTACCATCATATTGCTCGCCGCGCGCAGGCCACCTACCCCTGTCGATCATCAAAACAACATGCACTGTTGCCTCCGAATCTGGAGCACGCGCGGGCGCAACGCGACCACTTCGCATGAGTGTTTGACAAGGGTGGCGGGGTTGCCCTCATATTGCTTTCTCGGCGCAGGCCAACCATCCGATAATAACATACAATCTGCACTTCGCCTCCGAATGTGGAGCATGCGCGGGCGCCCCGTGACCATTTTGCACTGGATGTTGAAAAGGACGCTCGGGTGCTACGTATGTATTGGGAGGGCGGGTGGGAGTGAGCGAGACGGCTTGTGCCTTGTGGGCAGGAGGTGTCTTGCCGCAACCCAATTGAGCGCTCAAGAAGGTATCGGCCAGGAGGCAAAAACCTACGATAGTTTTTCGGTTTTGGGCCCACTTTGCCTTCCTTTGGGGGGCAAGGCTAATTGAGGATCTCCTCCTTCTTCGATCGATCTCCTTTAAGATGGCCCAGCGATGGCCCTCAAGGCTCCCAAGAGTGCCCCAAGAGTGCCCCAAGAGACGCCCAGGAGGCAACAAGAGGCTTCAGAAATGATGCCAAGAAGCTCCCCAGCGACCCCCAAGAGACTCCCAGAAGGCTCCCAAGGTGCCCCCCTGACGCCCGAAGATGCTCCCAAGAGACGCCCAAGAGGCCCCAAGAGGCTCCCAAGAGGCAGCCAAGACGCTCCAAGAGGCCCCCGGACCGCCAAGGGGCCCCTAAGACGCCCTACGAGGACCTCCACAAGATCCCAAGAGACCTCCGAAGAGACTTCCAGAGTCATGCAAGAGGCTTCTGGCCTTTCTGCTCGCCCTCGTCTTCCTTCTCCTCCTCATCTTCTTGCTCCTCCTCATCTGCCGATTGTTCCTGCTCTCTCTCTTCCCGCCTCCCCCTCTTGGGGTATGAGGGCTTCCCAAACCCTTCATTACCCTGCATGCTCCTCCGCATCCCTGATCGGGGCAACTTTCCTGGGTATAGTGTCGGCGTTGGATGTTGGGGGTACTTCTTTCGTCGCGGCCGCAAGCGGAAGCGCAGGCGGCGTCCGAAGTCAGCCCAGGCTACGAGCCAAACCTAATTACCTAACCGCGCGAACTAACGGCCGCCGAAACTGCCGCCGAGGGACGCCGAAGAGCGACGCCGGGGACTGGGATGTTGGGGTTACTCGAAGCGTCTAGAATTGGAGCTGTGGCAGCAGTCCGCGTCACCGCTCGCGAGAGAGAACGGCAATGACAGCAGACGCAGACGCGACGAGAGGCTACTGCGAGATGACATGGGAGAACCTGACATCATCAGTTACAGCTTGGGGGACCCTGGATGCGAGAAACTGAAGCAGCAGCGGCAAACCAAACCACCGCTTGCGAGAGAACCTGACCCCATCAGCCACAGCGTGGGACGCAGGGGGTGAGGAGAGGGAGAGGTCGGAGCAGAGGCAACAAAATAAGCCACAGCTCGCAAGGAATGCAACCAGTCGCATCATATGCAGCCGTGGCGAGGGAGAAGGGACGCCGAGGGTGGTCACAGCCGCAAGGGACGTGCTCGACACAGCCAGGGGCAAAGGTGTCAGATACAATGTAGGGGTTGGCGCGTGCGAGGAAGGGGAACAGCGGCAGCAAACCAAACCACTTCATGCGAGAAAGGAAGCCAGCGTCAACACTCGCAATCGCTTCGAAGTGAAAATGCGATGAAGGCCGCCCGGCGTCATCAACTATCACGTGCACGATCACGATGGTGCGTGCAAAAGGCCACGAACTGAAGCGGGCACGGAGTCAACCGTTTTCAAAAGCAATCGTGAGAAAGGCACTGCCAGCAGACGCAGTCGCGGTGGAGATAGGTAGTGCGAGAAGAGCTGGGAGAGCCTGACACCATCAGCTACAACGTAACGGCGTCGGGGATGTTGCGCACAGGACGAAGGAGCACTGGTTGCAAACCACGCCACCACTTGCGAGAACGGGTGAGATACAGCTTCAGCTGCCAAAATGGGACCAGCTCGTGCGAGCAGGCATGAAGTGGCAGCAGCTGTGAAGGTTCGTGATGCGAGAATGAAGGCAGTGGCAGCAGCAGAGCTGTCAGTGCCTGTGCAAAGGAACCGAAGCGTGGGTGCATGGATGCTGGTAGTTCTGTGCTGAACATCATGGGTGGGTACCCGCGCGGTCGTGCGTCCTCAGCTGTGCGAGGGAAAGGGTCGCAGTGGCTGAGCACAGCATGCGAGAATGGCAGGCAGCGGCAGCGGCAGCTGTTGCGACAATGTGGACGGGACCATCACCCTTCGTAGGTTGCGTTCGGACGGACCCTGGCGAACGGTGTGCCTGCGATCCTGCTGATCATCCTCCTGCTCCCCTTCGCCAAGCTAGAGTCGAGCTGATGGCGTCCTGAAGATCAGTGACAGGGCGTCGCCAGACTTTGGCTCCTAGCCCAAAGCCTAAGCCACGCAACGCCACGCCCCACAGGCTTGAGAGAGCAAGAGAGGAGGGAGGATGTCCGAATTCCAAGAATGGCAACCTGTCCGGAGCCTGCAACTCAGGGGTCCCAGATGCCACCAAAACTCTGCCCGGGACCGGCTTTGTATCCAGGGTACTTTTCTACAGGCCCCAGGGCCCGGGGAAGGGCCCAAGGAGGCCAAAACAAGCCGGGGGAAGGGCCCAAGGAGGCCCGGGGAAGGGCCCAAGGAGGCCCGGGGAAGGGCGCAAGACCCTCCTCCTCCTCCTCCTCTCCTCCTCCTCCTCCTCCTCTCCCCTCCTCCTCCTCCTCTCCTCCTCTCCTCCTCCCTCCTCCTCCTCCCTCTCTCTCCATCTCCATCTCCATCTCCTCCTCCTCCTCCTCCTCCTCCTCCTCCTCCTCCTCCTCCTCCTCCTCCCTTCTCCATTCATTTTCCATATAAATCAGTTCTCCCTGTCGCACCCCGAAGCCAAGTTTTAGGGCGGGCCGGGCGTTTCGCGTGAGACTCTCTCACCATGTATGACTCAGACGCTTCACAATTGGCAACAGTTTCATAGATGGAGGGCTGGTCGTTTTCAAAATGTGGCTCTCGCCTTAGTGCAGAGCACATTCGTTTTAACAATTCGCAAGAGCTCACGGATTGAGGGCGGGTGGTTTTCAAAATGTGGCTCTCGCCTGAGCGCGGCGCACAATCGTTTTAGAAATTTGCAAGAGCTTCACGGATTGAGGGCGGGTGATTTTCGAAATGTGGCTCTCGCCTCAGCGCGGCACACATTTGTTTTCAAACTTTCCAAGAGTTTCGCGGATGAAGGGCGGGTGGTTTAAAAAGTGTGGCTCTCGCCTTAACGCGGCGCACATTCGCCTTCACAACTTGCAAGAGCTTCACGGATTGAGGGCGGTTCCTTTTCAAAATGTGCTCGCCTTAGCGCGGCGCACATTCGTTGTAAAACAATTGCAAGAGCTTCACGGATTCCCATCATCAACGTGCCAGGCTGTGTTTTGAAAGGATTCAGGATTTCGCGGGTGCAACAGTTATGTTGCTTTGCTGTGTTGAAAGTCCCAGGAATGGTTCCTGGCGCGATTCAGGATTGTCAAGACGCAGCAGTCAGATTGATCCGTGGCGTTGAGATCCCGAGACAAGGGTCTTCAAACGGGTGCCTTCCAAAGAAGCAGTTCCTTTAATGGAAATGAGCCGCTGTGGGGGCCTATGAAGAGGGAGCTTGGAGGGAGGGTGTATTCCAATATCGCTGACTCTGAGGTCTACATTGGTCCTCCTCCTCCCCCTCTCCTCCCCCACCTCCTACTCCTACTCCTCCTCCTCCTCCTCCTCTCCCACTTCTATCTTCATGTCGACCCCGAGGTCCCGGCGGTGCATCTCGGCGGCCGCCCCACAGGCTGCCACCGCCAGCCCGAGGCCCGCCAGCGGCCAGGCCTGAGGCTACTCGGGAAGACATCGGCCCCGAAGGCCGCACAGTGCCTGGCCGAGCAGGCGCCGCCCCGGCCGGCCGACGGCGGCACAGGAGGGTCAGTTCCTCCACCTCGGCCGTCCTCCTCCTCGGCCCTCTCCTCCTGGGTCCTCCTCCTCTTCTTCCTCCTCCTCCTCCTCCTCCTCCTCCTCCTCCTCCACCCCTGGGGCCCTCGTCCCCATCCTCTTACTCCACCTTCTCCTCCTCCTCCTCCTGCTTCTCCTCCTCCTACTCCTCCTTCCTCATCGTTTCCCTTCTCCTCATCCTCCGGGGACAGGTGGGAGGACATAGATGAGGACGAGGAGAAGGAGCATAGCGACGAATGCTTGTGAGAGGGAGGACGTGTAGGTTGCGGAGATGGGTGAGGAGATGGAGTGAGGGAGGAGGGGGGAGGAAAAGGCTGAGAGGGGAGGGCCAACACTCATACCGGATGAAGTCCGGTGTCTGCGGAGTCTGCCGCCCGAAGCGGGCGGGCCCGCTTCCTGGAATTCTCGCGACATGGCCGGGGGGAAGATTACCAGCCTCGAACTGATCCTTATACCTAAGATTGGGAAGCCCGAGGCCATGACAATCTTGGAGATGTGCTTCCAGAAACTGAGACAATCCCGAACATCGGCACTGGGATAAGGATATGCTAGTCATAAGAATAAGACAATGCTCCAGGCTGGTGAGTAGAGAGGGGGTCTTCATAGATCAGCGAAGAACTCCGCGCTCCCGAGTACGAGCGTCTCAACCTTTGCACCAGGGCCTCGGAGCTGACATTCGACCGCTTGAGAACTCTTGTGCAGAGCTCTGTCGAGCATGTGGAGCAGCGGCTGGACAACTGAGGGGATCTGTTGTGTGGCCAAGGACTGCACCGCAGGCGTGTTAGTCTCATGGGCACTCGGGAGGAACGTGCGCTGGACTGCTCCGAACTCCGAGCGGAGGGGACCGCCAGCTCAAGGGTCGAGCCGCTGACGGGGGGCGCCACCTGGGGTGGGACGCACAGAGGCATACTAGTATGATATGTCCTCATTGGAGGCGCGCGTCCGATCCGAAAAAACTAGTATGCCCATCTTGTCATACATCGATTCCCGAGCGGTGTGACCAGAACGTGCCCGCCACGACGCGTATACTCGTCGTCCCTGTCGTCCTTCCTGCTCTTCCTGAGCTCCTCGTCCTTCTTGCGGCCGTTGCCAGCAATGATGAATCTGGTGGCGCTGACCCCCCAGGAAATGGAAATGCCTCAGTTTACCCGAGAAGGCCGACACCAATCGGTTCGTGATGGAAAGAAGCCTCCCGCACTGACGAAGGGCCGAGTCTCCGACAGGACTGTGAAGACGTGACACTGGCCGCCGACTAGCGGTACCCAGTCGGTCCCCGAGGAAACTATGCATCGTGAACCAGAACGGCGACGGAGGAGGAAGAGGAGGAGTCCCGACGGGCGTCCCTTGCCCCCCACCCCTTCGGTGCATCCCCTGCCTGTGAAGACTGCGGCTCCGGCTCCGGCTCGCGTCGCCTCGCGAAGGCGGTGGCGCGGTCCTCTCCGGAGTCCGTCGGCAGCTGCCACCAGATGGCGCCGAGCGCCGCCGCGAACACTGCGGACACTCGCACGCGGCCGCGCGGGCGGAGCCTCCGCGGCCAAGGGTTAGGAGGGCACCAAACCCGATCAGGGGCTAGTGGCACATGTAGCAAAAATGGTCCTGACTTGGTCTGATTATACCCAAGGAACGATAAGTGCGAATGCCGGATCCAACCTCCCAGGAATGGCAACCTGCGTGAATGTTCGAGAAAGATGGTCGGTGGCGCGACTTAGAATACATTTCGCATGGGTTAATCCAGGCTGGACCGACAGGAGAGGCCCCATCCCCCCTTCGTCAGGGATAGGAAGGGAAGGGAGTGATTTTTCTACACTCGGAAAGCTCAGGGATGAGATGGCGTGGGGACTGGGGGGAGGGGAAAGGAGAGAAGGGTCCTTCCGGGGGAGGGGGGAAGGGAAGCGACGAGGGAATGAGGAAGCGAAGGGGTGGGCCCTCAAGGGTCATCTTGGGCCGTTTGGAGCTGTCCTGAAGCCGTTTGGCGGGCAAATGAGCGGGGAAGCAAAACGGAATTCAAAACATTGGGCTTATGCTACGTTTGATTGTAGCCCCCCGGTGCCTGGCGCCAGGCCCAGAGGCATGCGCCATGGCCTGAAGGCGGAGCTGCCTGGATCCAGGGCTCTCGCAAGCGTCTCGAGCTGGAACCGGCCGCGCCATACGAACCACAACTGCACGGTCCATCTCGCTCCGCCGCCTCCTCCTCCTTCCACCGCCTCCTCCTCCTCCTCATCATCATCAATCTCCTCTTCCTCCTCATTCCTGCTGCGCCCTCTTCCTCGTCCACCTATCCTTTTTCCTTCCTCCTCTTCCTTTTCCATCTCCTCCTTCGCCTTCCCATTCGTCCATCCTCATCCTCCTCCCCGATTTTGCTCTCCTCATCTGTGCCCGCCCTCTTACCCTCTTAGTCCCGTCGTTGTCGTCGGAGTAATGATATTGTACGTGGTCTGTTCCTTCCCTTCCTCCCCTCCCGCCAGTACCGTCTATCCTTCCCTGCCCCCGCCGCCGTAACCTGTTCTGCGAAAGCGTATCTTTGCGTGCTCCCATTCATTTGTCTGTCATCTCCATAGCGAAGATAAGCGGGCAGCTGCATGGCATGGCAGCGGGTTGCCGTGGCAAGTGCGCCATTATGCATTACATGATTATTGCTCGGGCACGACTGGGTGCTCTCGGTAGCGAAAGTACTGCCCTCTACTCCTTCTTCCTCCGCCTCCTCCTTCTGCTTGCCCCCCTCCTACTCCGAATCTGACGCTGCATCCCCCTCCCCCTCTGGCTACTCCTACTGCTTCGCCTTCTCCGCCGCCCCGCCCGAGTCCTCCCACCCTCACTGCTCCAGCTCCCCAACCACATCATCCAGGGTCCAGTGGACTACACTTCACGCCTGTGGAGCAAGTGAGGGAGGGCTTGGGGCGGATCGCTAGGGGTGCGATCGCCTTGCCTTGGCGTGCAGGCAGATGCCCCCCCCCCCCCCCCCCTATGTTTGCCCGGTGCGTCTGGCGTCCCTGACAACCAGTCCGCCAGGGGTTCAGGTCCCACCGTGCTGCGGCTAGCGCAATCCAGGCGGGCGGGTGTTTGCCAGGGTTCGGTGCGTCTGGCGTCCCTGACAACCAGTCCGCTGGGGGAGGACAGGGGTTCAGGTCCCACCGTGCTGCGGCTAGCGCAATCCACCTCTTACTCACATGTCTTCTGCTTTGCGTCTGCCAGGGGCAAAACAAGCTTAGCGGCGCGAGCAAAAGGGGTAGGGAGGAGGCAGGACGGCATCTTGGATGCTGCTTCTTAGCAGGCGCTGGTCCAACATCAGCAGACACGGCCCGCACCTTCTAAGAAGCACGGGTGCTTCTAAGAAGCCTTTCCCCCTCCCCCTCCACCCTCTGCGCGTAGCCAACAGTTTGAATGATACCATGTCAGCGCTTCAGTCTATGGAGATGTGACTTCAGCACGGGCTGCTTTGGGTAAGGGCATACATTGGGATCCAGCAGTGGGGAGCTCGCCCTCCCTGGCGGTCGGAGAGCTAGAGGCTCGCCCTTCTGGCTCACCGTCAGGGGGTGAGAGGCTTCTGCTCCAATGCATGTCTTCTGCTGTGCATGATTTGGGTTAGGTCGGGCATGTCCTCGTACAGGCGGATTGTGGAGGACAGCTCAAACATAATCCAAACATGCCCAACAATGATCCAAGAATGTGCGAAAATCGTCCCCAGACTATTTGTTTGACTATGTTTGGATATTCCTCCTGTAGGGGGACAGGCCCGACTAAAACATTTGGGCCTGGGTTGTTGCTGTCACACACTGGGACTTGTTGGTGGGCCTCTCGATCCCTCCGGTGGCCAAGAGGGCCAGGGGGGTTGGCACACACCTCAATATATCTGTGCTGCCGTGCTGCTGCCGTGCTGCTGGGATCAACCCGCCTGGGGGCAGCGGGCAGTGGCAGAATGCCCTACCGTTCAGCAGCTGCCTGGCCAAACGGTTTTCATGTTTTCCAGCTTCGTGCATCGTGCCACGCTGGTGCCCAATTGACTTCGTTATCTCAAGCCTTTGGGTTGCATGCCGGCGCAGCTGTGTGGTACGGGCTCGGAGCTATATCACATCGACTCGCGGCGTTGCTCATGCTATTTTGTGCCTGGTGGATTTGGAGTTGTTGTTGTGGCCGTAACACGTTCAAATCAACGTGAACTGATGTACGGCGTGGACGGCAGCGTTCATGTGGGGAGGTACTCGTTTTGTGGATCCCATGACAATGAATGCTCTAACAACCATATCATTGAATTAAATATGTGTTCGAACTGTGCAAAGCATGTTCTAAACATGTTTGAGACATGTTCGAGACATGCTTTAGTCATCTGGAAATTAGTTGGCAGCACGCTTCATCTCCATTAGTCAACTTCCACAATACTCGTTCGAGATATTCAGCAATTGTTCTTTGGGCTTCTTTGCCTGGTCAATCGCACACGTGCTGCTGGACTCCACCTTCCCGTGCTTTGCTGCTCGTATTCGTCGGCTTCGTCGTGTGCGTCGAGGCCTGAGGCGGCAAGGGGAAGCGTTCGCTTGTTGTGACGCTTCGCGTCTCTTCCGATTCCGATTCCCCATCGTAGTGGTCGTCGGCCTCCTTCCCTGCTCTCTCCTTCCCGCCCACGCATCCCCTCCCCCCCACCTTCGCTTCTCCTCCCCCTCATCCACCTCCTTTGGGGGGCCCAATGGGGTACCGATACCGCTGCTCCCCGGACCTCTCCTGGGGTGCGTTCTGGCCAGAACGTCGCAGCGCATCCAGCTGTGGCGGCGAGGGCCTCCCAGGAGGCCCGGGAAGGGAAAAACACAAAAGAAAGGCAGCGTCACGCGCTCCTCCTTTTCCTCCTCCGACCTTCTCTCTCCTGCTGTGCAGCCGCTCGCGGGCCTCCTTGGCGCACGAGTGGCGCGCGCGGGGCCGACCCGAGCGCCCCGCACGGCCATGCAAGCCAAAAAGCTGCGGCACGGCCTGGTCCGGAGGAGGGGGAGCAGCGGCAGCAGCCGGAGCACCCTCGGCAGCAGCAGGCGTCCCACGGGGCAGAGGGGGCTGCAGCAGGCTGGAAGAGAAAACGGGGCAAGCTCACGCGCGCCAGGCGAAAGCTGAAGGCTCAGCTTGTAGCGAGAGGGAGCCCGCAGTCCCCGTGGGCCTGCTCGAGGCTCTCCTCCTTGCTACGTTCGGAGCGGCACCAGAGTACCGCCTCCACGGGATCACGAGGCAGAGAAAAGCACGACGACGAGGTTGTACAGCAAAGTTTTATGACAGAGATGAAGAAAAGGAAGCGAGGCAGGCACGCTGAAACCATCAGGAGGGCGAACGAATAAGACACACGATGACGAGGCAAATCATTAGGAAAGTACGCAAGAGTAGGTAACTTCCCAGAACTATCGAAAGTGCACGCGTGCCTCTGGTATACGGAGCTACTAATACCGGCTCCAAGCGATAAAGCGCGCAAATGTGCAGCTTCTCTCAAGCGCATGTTTCCCCTTTCTCGTCCCATCTGGCCTCGCTCGGCTGCACTCCCAGCCCGGCGCCGACGGCCCACAGCCAGCCATTCTCGACTGCGGGGTCTGCTTCATCATCGCAGGGGCCCTCCTCTTATCAGACTGAAGGGGCCGAACAGTCGTTCACTGTCCGTGGGTGCGTGGCTGGAGTGGGCTTCCGCGGTGCGGGTTGTTGATGTTGTCGTTGTTGTTGTTGTTGAACTCTCACTGCTGAAAAAAATGATTGTTGATCCCCCCCCCTCCAGTGACCATTGTGTTTCTTTTTTTCAATCAATTGCAATGTTTCACCCAAGGCTCGCACCCGGTTTTTCTCCATCAGGGAAAACCACGGGGCTCAAACTAGGTTGTTGGCGCCCGGATTACAACATCAATTTCAAGGACAAATAACCAGCTGGTGTACCCGGACCAGGTACACCAGTTCGCTCTTTCGCTCCATCTAGTGAAACAATCCACTGGCATACCCTGCGCCCCCCACCCTCCGCGGAACGCAACGCAACGCAACGCAACGCCACGCGCCATACGGCCAGCATAGGAAATCACAGAAATTCGTTGGACATCTTCTGGGATCCTTCGGGGTCCTTAAGGCAGCTCACTTATTCCCACGAGCTCAAACTATGCGCGCTCCACCGAGCCGACCTCGGAGCTGAGGACTCCTTCGGAATCGTGCAGGCAATCCTGTCGACTCCCTTGGGACTCCTGTAGAATCCTCAGGGGATGCTATAGAATCCGTGGGGAATGCTATAGAATCCCTGGGGGAGGGTGCTATGGCATCCCGGGGGGATGCTATACCATCCCAAGGGGATCGCACAGAAATTCGTATGGATCTTACAGAATCTCTAAGGACTCCGATTGAATCCCGAGGAGGTATTATAGGGTACTCGTAGTCGCCGTAGTAGTAGTAGTAGTAGTAGTAGTAGTAGTAGTAGTAGTAGCAGTAGTAGTAGTAGTAGTAGTAGTAGTAGTCGTAGTAGTAGTAGTAGTAGTAGTAGTAGTAGTAGTCGTAGTCGTAGTAGTAGTAGTAGTAGTAGTCGTAGTAGTAGTAGTAGTAGTAGTAGTAGTAGTAGTAGTAGTAGTAGTACTAGTGGTAACAATATAAGTCGTAGTAGTAGTGGTAATAGTAGTAGTAGTAGTAGTAGTAGTAGTAGTAGTAGTCGTAGTAGTAGTAGTAGTAGTAGTAGTAGTAGTTGTAGTCGTAGTCGTAGTCGTAGTCGTAGTAGTAATAGTACTAGTAGTAGTAGTAGCAGTAGTAGTAGTAGTAGTAGTAGTAGTAGTAGTTGTTGTAGTAGTAGTAGTAGTAATAGTAGTAGTAGTAGTACCAGTACAAATAATTCTACTAAACGTCGTAATAGTAGCCGTAGTCGTAATCGTACTACGAGTCGTAAAACTAGTGGTAAGCGTAGTCGGAGTAGTAGTGTATATAGGAGTTGTAGCAGTAGTAGTAAAGAGTCGTAGTAGTAGTAGTCGTAGTTGTTGTTGTGGTAGTAGTACGAGTACCAGTGGTACGAGAAGGAGTCGCAGTAGAAAGGTCGTAGTAGTACTAGTAGTATTAGGAGTAGCAAGAGTAGGGCGAGTAGTCGTAGTACTAGTAGTAGTACTATCGATAATAGAAATAGTAGTTGTAATACTAGCCCGTGTAGTAGGAGTAATAGGGGTGGGGTAGTAATA